GCCTGAACAGCTCCTGGTGCCGCAGCCGGGCGGCCCGCACCGCGGCCTGCTGTACCCGCTGCAGGAAAGCTGGAGTCAGGCCTCAGCACAGCGCCCTCTGCCCTGTGGGGCCGGGTCTCCACCCGGGACCTCCGCCACCTCCCACAGGATGGCTCTCCTGGCCACGGAGCCCAGGTCACAACAGGCCAGCGGCTCCAGTTTCCTCACAGCTTGGCCTCCCCGAACCTTCCTCACCCGTCAATCCCAGCGCCCCGAATGGGCAGGAGGACCTTGGTCTAGCGCAGTGGTCGGCAAACTGCGGCCCCTTGAGTGTGGCTATTCCACAAAATAGCACGTGCAGGCACGCACGTACAGTGTGATTGAAACTTCGTGGCCACACTCAATGGGCCAAAGAGCCACATGTGGCTCGCGAGCCGCAGTTTGCCGACCACCGGTCTAGCGTGTCCCCCTGCATCCCCTGAACCCAGAGTGGCGTCTAGAGGGCGCTGGGAAATAGTCTCACTCAGCTGGCAGAGCAGCTGCGAAGATCCCGAACGGAAAAAAAAGAAGCAGCTTCGGGGACCAGAGAGGGCGGGCTGCGGACACGATAGAATGCGGGCTGAAGACAGAAGAAATCAGGCTGCGGGAGCAGAGAGAGCAGACCTGAGCCCACGGTGCTCACCAGCATCCGGGCGGCCTTTTCCCACCGACGCTGCTGCTCCGTCTTCTTCTCCACAGCGGCCAGGCGGGCAGGTGTGGTGGCCTCGGCTCCTCCAAGCTCGTCATCTCTGGCCTGGTCTCCAGCCCCCTCGGGCCCCTGGTCCTGGCCCTCGCCTGGCTCCCCCTCCCCATCCGACTCCTCCAGCAGCCCCTGGCACATCTCTTCAAACACAGATTCCTGGGGGAGAGAGGGTGTCAGTGGACAGGGAGGGTGTCAGGGGCCAGGCGAGGGGCAGACTGGGAGGAGGGGAGGGCGGGCAGGTGTGGGCTTACCTGGGTGGCGGCCTGCTCGGCGGGGGGCAGGGCCAGCTGCCGCTCCAGCTTCTCCGCCTCCCTCTGCCGCTGCAGCTCCACCTCGTGGGCTTCCCAGAGCAGCCTCTGGGAGGGACAGGGTGGGGTAAGGGCGAGCCCCAGGCCTCTCCTGGGGTTACAGACCTGGCCCCCCACCCCAGCCCCTCCTCTCCCTGGTCCCCAGTTACAGCCTCACCCCGCCCTCCCCGCAGCGGCCAGAGGGGGCTCCTGGCTTCCCTGCCAGTTCCCGTAAGGACAGTCTGGGCTGCACACACTGAGGTTTCGTTTACATGAAACACCCAGAAACGGCAAATCCGTGGACAGGAAAGAGCGTGGTGCCTACGACGGGGAGACGGGACTGGGGGCAATGAGCATGGTGGTGCCGTCTACAGGGCTCAGCGCATACACGCGGCACCACTGACATGTGCCCCTAAGTGGGCGCATCCTATGGCACAGGAGTCACATCTCTGCAAAGCATTACATGTTTTTAGAAAATGACTGACCCCCCTCCTCCCCAGCACCCACGCCGCCCTCGCCTGTCCAAGGGGAGCGGACTGCGGCCCGGCTCCTCCTCCCACCATCCGGGCGCGGGGTTTGTTTCTGTAGACACCTCGCCGTTACCACGTGGGCCCGCCCTCCACTCCTGTTGCTCAGACACCCGCTAATGCCCGATGTGGAACAGCATTCACGCGTGTCCTGCATCTACTCACGACCTCATTTCTCTCTGGGAACATGTGCTCCCCGAGGCGGGGGGGGTGTCCCCACTGTTCACACCTGTGCTCAACAAACATCTGTGAGATGAACAGTGACTCTCACAGCCCGGTTTCTTGTTGTTCAACTATCCTCGGCCTCAGACAAACCTCACTTGGTCACAGGGCGTCTGTTAATGGTGTATTAAGGCCCCTCTGCACCCATGTGCCGTGAACTTCCCAAAGCTGTACCCACTGGACCCGCCTGAATCCTCGGCCTCAGACAAACCTCACTTGGTCACAGGGCATCTGTTAATGGTGTATTAAGGCCCCTTTGCACCAACGCGCCGTGAACTTCCCGAAAGCTGTTCCCTCTGGACCCACCTGGAACTCCCATTCTCCTCTTCCCACAGCACACTGCCCCGTTCTCAGCTGTGTCCCCTCCTCCAGGAAGCCCTCCTGACTCCCAAGGCTGGGTGTGGGGGTCCCTCTGAGTCCCCCCTTCCCAGCCCCGCCCTCTGGGTCATCACTGTCTCCTCCACTGGACTGCGAGCCCCAGGAGGACAGGCTGGGACTAACTCGGTCACTCTGAGTCCCCAGCTCTGGGTGGGCACGGAGAACGTGCCAGGCGAGGGAATGCCGACCCCGAGACATAGGCACCGGCTGAGGAGAGGGCTGTGTACCTGGTGGTCCTCAAAGGATGGGTTGTAGGAGGCTCCAGAGGGTGTCACCTCCACAGCAGGCACCTGGGACGGCTTGGTGTGGAGACGCGGCGGCCGCTGGACAAAACCCAAAGCAGGTGAGGCCTGGGAGCTCCGGGACTCCCCTCCTCACGAGTCCAGGCTGGGAGGTGCTGTGGGAGCCAGCGTCTGGGACAACGGCCACCTGGCTCCCCTGGGAGTGGCATCCCCAGGACCAGCCAGCTCCCCGCAGGGGCTCTGCCCACCTTTCCTGAGACCAGTCCCTGTGACCCCCATGGGGGGGGGGGGTGACACCTGACTGAGTCACCACAGCCTGTCACCGACCCGGCAGCAGAGCCTGTCAGAGCAGCACCTGCCGACAGACTCAGAGCCCAGCCCTCCACCGCCCTGGGGACCTGTGAGAGCCACACAATCCCGGCTCCACTCGGACCCTCTGCACCTCAACAAGACCCCGGTGATGCGAGTGCTCCCTCCGGGCTGAGCAGCACCCTCACAGCACCTCCACTTTCGGACTTTCCTCGTCCCTGCCCCTGCCCGTCGGGCCTCCCCAGCCGAGGCCCTGTCTCCGGCAGAAGCCGGGGTCACCCTGGATACCCTGCCCTCGTCCCCCTCCCACCCAACCCCGTCTCCCCAGAGCCCAGATCCCACCCGCTCCTTTGCAAAGAAACATCAGCAGAATAAAACTCCGAAACCTGAGCTGCTCCCTCTGCCTCCCCCCCGACCCCACCCCGCAGAGGACCCCTGCAGGTCCCCCCACTGCCTGGCCCAGAGGCTCCCCAGGTCCCTAATCCTCAGTACCTTCTTCTCTACAGCAAGGGCTTCCCTGAAGCACCTGCTCTCTTCCTTCGAGGCCCCGCCCCGCATGTCACAGCAGGGACCATGTCACGGCAGGGTCAAGCCCAAATGCAGAGCAGTCCCACCGCTCCCCAGCCCGTCCCTCAACCCTGACTGCCCGAACGCCACTCAGGCGCGGCCTCACCTTCACACCTTTCTTCTTGGTCTGCTCCAGGAAGAAGGGGTCCTGGCCAGCCAGCGGCCGCTCCAGAGGGTCTGTGGGGGCAGAGGGTGCTGGGGGCTGGCCCGTGTGGGGAACCGCCATGACTCCCTCCGACCCTCCCCTTATCTACAAAGATGGCTCTGAAGCCTGGGCCAGGGAAGACTGACTCTCTGACCCCGAGGGGCCTCGAAAGCCAGGCAAAGAGCAGCCGGCGGGCTCCCCAAGGCAGGAGAGCCGGGGCTGAGGGCGGGAGCCGGCCCTCAGGGCGCCACTTCGAGACCCTGCCAGAGGGTGGACAACACCCGCAGGGCACCCCTTAGACATCACGCACAGCTGTGCCGCAGCCCTGCGCCCGCCTTTCTTCTTGGTCTGCTCCAGGAAGAAGGGGTCCTGGCCAGCCAGCGGCCGCTCCAGAGGGTTGTCTGTGGTCCAGAGGTCGTAGAAGGGCTGCTCCGCAGTGCTCTGGGGCCCGGGCCTGGCTTTTGCCGCAGGAGGGCTGTGGAGAGGGGCCTGCGCCCTGCGTACCTCTCAGGGCAGCTCGCCCTGCTGGGCCAGCCTCTCCCATAGCTGCTCCTTCCGCTTGAGCTTCTTGGCGTTGGGGACCTGGTGGGCGAGGACGCTGGGCGGGGGAAGCGCACAGGCCAAGTGGGTGCGGGGAGCCTGGGAAGGGCCTGGCTCCCCCAGTCGGCCCCCACCCCTGCTCACCCCACACTCGGGCACCCGCCTCCAGCAGCCCCTCTCCCAGGCGCCCTCCCCAGGCTAGCTTCCTCCCAGCAGCCCTAGAGAGCATCTCCCCCGTCTGTCTGCAGCCCAGGCCTCTCTGAGCCTGAGACCCAACAAAGCAACGCCTCTGGGGCGCTTGCCCCGACGTCTCCCAGGCACCTCCCACCCACACACCACCGACCTCAGCAACGTCCCCAAAGCTACTCCTCCTGCCACACTCCCATCTCCGGGCCGGCCCACCCTCCACGCACTGTCCATCCATCGCCTGACCACCTGCCCCCTCCTCCAGGGTCAGTCACTAAGCCCGGCCTGGCCCACCCCCTCCCAAATCCCTGGGCAGGTCCAGGTCCCATCCTCGCCTGCTCCAGCCACAGCGCCCGGCCCTGCCTCACGCCCTCCAATCGTTCTCCAAGGCCCAAATCTGACCCCATCCCTGCCCTCCAAGTGACCCTCACACCCCTCCCTCCCCAGGAGTTCCTTCAGGGCCAGGACGTGAGCGGGGCAAAGGCAGGAGGCCCCGCCCAGGGGGGAAGCAGGGCCCACAAGTGTGGCACTCACTCTTTGGGGGCAGGGATCTTGGATGTGTTCTCTAACACCAGGTCGACCCGCAGGGGTTTCTTGAGGAGCAGTGGCCTCTTCTGGCCTTTGGTGCTCTTCCTGCCGCGCTCTGGGGGTGGAGAAAGGAGAGGAATCAAGGCCGAGGCCTCCTCGTGCCCCCTGCCTGGGGAAGGACGCCCCCAAGGCTCTGCCTCCCACCACCCCATCCCCCGGGCCAGCCGGACCAGCCCTGTGCTGGGCGCAGAGGGGGTCAGCCCCACACACGAGGCTCCCAGACACAGCGGGGACATGGCCACAGAACCAGGAGGACTAACAAGGAAGGAAGCAGGTGACACGGAGGCCAGGAAGTGGGCTCAGGACCCGACATGGCCGATTCTCAGCACAACAGCCTTTTACTTCTAAAACCTCACAGCGAGACGCGAGAACTCCAGGACAAAACCCGCTCCCTCCCATTGACCGTGGGACCACGTGGAAACGACCTTGCTCCTCTGCGCTCCAAAATGAGGTTAATGCCGACCTCGCAGGGCGGTGTGGGCAGCCTGTGAGCTCACAGCCGCTGCCGCCTCTGCCTCCTCTTTAACCTAAAGCAGGACCTACACACGCCCCTCCTGTTCCCAGACCTCCGTCCCACCAGCGCGGAGCCTCCCTGCTTCCTCCCCGGTCCGAGGGCAGGTCCTGACGGCCACGAGCCCAGATCCTCTTCTGGGAAACCCACCTCGTCAACCACCTTCCCTCGCTGAAGGTCTTCTCTGCCTGGAGGCGGATCGGTCCCTCTCTTCCTGCTCACTGACACGGTCCGCTCGCCTTGGTGAGAACAAGTCCACTGACTGCTCTCCAACGTGACCGTGAAGCCGCTTGCCACGTGCTCGACACGGCCGTCAGCTCTCCCATGAAGCAGACCCCTTCGCCTGCTCTGCCCCCGTTACAGCAGGTGCCTGTTCCCGGTCTGTTTCCAGGTGCCGACGGACCCCCTCACCGTCCCCAACTCACTCCCCCACCTGTCTCAGCACCTCCCGGCCCTGCATTCCGCCAAAAGATAACCAGCAGGTCGAGGCAAGTGTCTCACCTACTCGTTCAAGTGCGCCCTCTACTCCTTATCAAAGCACGTTTTAGTAACTAAAACCGGTCCGATTCCTTCCCTGCGGGTCCTTGACTTGCTTTTCGGCAAACTAATGCGCCCCGCTAGTTGACGTCTAATCTACTCGAGACAGACCCCCGCCGGCTTTTCTGTGCACTGAGATCTCCGATACCCCAAAAAGGAAACCCGACTCCTTTACGTCAGGGCCTGGCCTGCTTTCTGCTCATCCCCGGCCCTCTTGTTTATTAAAGAGAATAAACCGGGGCCGAGAAAGACTTCTTGTGCTCAGCGGACACCCTGCAGAAAGCTTGCAGCCCTGAGCACAGCATAGCCCAGGTGACCAGAAGACGCCTGGCATGGGAGGAGCCAAGGACCGACCGGACCCTTACATTGGCAGATCGGCTTGCAGCCAGCAAGGATTAATAAAAATCTCTCTCGCCCTAGCTAGTCTGGCTCAGTAGATAGGGCGTCAGCCTGCAGGCTGAAGGGTCCCTCCCGGGTTCAATTCTGGTCAAGGGCACATGTCTGGGTTGTGGGCCCAACTCCAATCCCCGGTAGGGGGCATGCAGGAGACAGCCAATCAACGATTCTCATCATTGATGTTTCTCTCTCCCTCTCCTTCCTCTCTGAAATCAATAAAAATATATTTTAAAAAATAAATAAATAAATAAAATGAAAACCTCTCTCTCCTGCTCTCTTGGCTGATGCCTTTCTCTGTCTCAGCCCACCTGCACCCAGGTGCCTGGAATAAATCTTTTTGGATACGTTATGGCCTCATGTCACAAGTGCTGGACCCCGGCCCACGCCGAACCTTTCGGTTTACAGTGAAGCCCCTTTTAGGAAGGGTTTGCCATCCGAGCCATGTCATCCGCACAGACGCTCTCAGAGGCTGAGGTGGGATCGACAACGACCCACCGTTGCCAAGCAACACCACAACGCCCTTCCTCACTCACCTCTGTCCTTGGGACCGGTATCCACGAAGAAGAGTTTATCATCGGGGGCCTCCGACACCAAGCCACTGGGAGATGGAAATACAGAATGTCAGTCACACAAATAAAAATAAAAAATAAAGAATGTCAGCCACAGATGTCGGGGAGGGAGCAAGTCTGCGGAAGGAGTAGGTTTCGCTTATGCCCATTCAAGCATCGTCTTGCTGGGGTGGGACCCCTTCAGGCTAAAGCTTCCGCCGTCGGTTTACAGAACGTAATACTTAAAGCCCACGACGCCAGGCTGGGTGCACGGGTCACACAGACTCTAGGAGGTTACAGCACCGGTTTACCTGAATTCTGACTTAACCGGGAATCCCGTACCTGGTCACCCTACCAAGTGCCTCAGCCACCCACCCAGGGTCCCCAGCACAGACTCCCAGCAC